TCCGTTTGGTTTCATTTTTTATGAAAATTGTCCATTAAAGTGATAATGTTTTCTACCATTGGGTCTAAAATTTGTTCCAATTGCAAAAAAAAAAAAAAAAAAATTGAACAAAATAAACCATACCGAATACCATTCGTTTGGCTTTGTGTTTACATGGAAATTGTCAATAAAAATGAAATTTTTTTTACCATTATGTCTAGAATTTTTTCCAATTGCAAATAAAAAAAAAAAAAGGAAAATATTTACCCACCAAAACATCAATAATTTATTTTCCTCAAAAAGGAGGAAAATTTTGAAAGTTGGAAAATATTTTCCAGGAAAAATTTTGCGTATCAAACACTACAAAAGTTGGAAAATGAAAAAAAATTTCTATTTTTCATAAAAAATGTGTACTATCAAACATACCCCAATAGTTTTTAGTTCTTAACATTTTTATCATCTCCAATAGCAATAACTACTGCTCATTTTATTTTGAAGATTTTAAAATGGTTTTAAAATAGAACTCTCTTGGCTCGAAATTAGGCGAAAAAATTGGCAAAATTCTCTAGTTTCTCTTACGTGGCCACCACGCAATCCATGGCATCTTCGAGTCAAATTCGGGTTGCCTGTCAAAAGCCCGCCGCTCGGATCGGGTTTGGCGCTGACTGGGTTTGTTTTGATAAAGTGTCTGTACACATTTGAAAAAATATAAAATAGGTTTGACTTTTTAAAATGGTCACCATTAAAGAAAGAATAATAAATAAAATTCTGAATTCTAATTATTGAATTAGGTTTTAATAAAGGTTTCAGTGTCCCTAATCATATTCAAGGTGTCTTTGAGCCCTGTTTTAGAAAACTATATCTTGTAATAGTGATTTATTGGAGAATGTGGTGGGGGGAGGTAGGGCTCCGTGTAAAAAAAAAATTCTTGTAAAAATATTTTTTACGTGTAAATTTATTTTTTCTACATATTAGTTCGGCTTGTAGTCCGATTCTGAATTCGTCCTACATATACTGCATGGCATGTGACTATTGCTGGTCAGATTTTGACAAAATTAAGTTTTAATAAATTAAAACAGTTAAACTAAAAAAACTTAATTTTGAATTCACCCAATAAACATCAGATATTTATAACAAACCAACACCCTCTTCAAATATCCAAAGAGGAAAAAAAAATCTACGATCTTTACATATTGGTTTGATATAATCTCAACTAATATCAGTAATTTGACTCTACACGGATAGCTAGATGTGGATTTTACTTATTTACACATTAATCATCCACTACCCGGCTTCCACCCAATTAATCAGCAGATAGACACTTTAAATATTAGCTCGTGAGTGCTTGAATTACAGTGCTCCAGATAACAAAATAAATCATTAATCTAAAAGTGCAGCATCTTCGTAGCTTATTCATATCAAATAACTTGGATAATACATGCCAACACTAAGAAATAACATTCTGCATACCATTCCCAAATGACTACCTGATCTCAGCATCTGAACAAAAAGATTGAGAGCTTCAGAGTGACACCCACTTCTCGCAAACCCTGAGATAACTGCGGTCCATGAAACCACATTCCTTTCAGGCAATTCATCAAACACTCTCACTGCATCTCCCAAAACCTCACACTTTATGTACTTAAATTGTGGTATTTAATTATAGTCCGATGTGCAGAGCTAATAAATTTTGATTTTGCCCTAATTTATTTTAGGGTTTAGGGGAGCAGCGATTCCTAATTTTTTTCATTTTTTGATTTTACCATAATCTTCAATTTGTGTCAATGAACGTCTCTAACATTTCAGAAATATGTAGTTGGGATCCAAACGGATGGAAACCATTACCGTTAGTTGACCAAAAAAATTGATTTTGACCAAATTTGATAAGGGCAAAATTGCAAGTCCACAAATTTTACATTTCGATTATGAGATTCGGTTGTGGATGTGTGGAGATTTGACAATTGTTGGTGATGGTGGCGATTGGTGGAGATCCGATTCTTAGATCTTTGGTGTCGAATTTGGGATTTTGAAATTATAGAGGATTTGACAACCATTTCACTCATTGCTATGGGTTTTCATTGCAGAGGTTGTTGGCGGTTTGAGATGGTGTTGGTGGTATTGATTTAGGTGCAACATTGTGTGGGTGGCGGTGGTGGTTGTCGTTCGATAGTGTGTGAGTTTTCTTGGTTTAATTTTC